ATAAACAATCCCACGTTCACCAAATAATGCATCAGGTGATGGATATAAAGATATTGAATTGCACATATAGCTTGAACACGACGAGATTTTATTTTACAAATAGAACAAAATAAAGGCTCAGAGCAAGTGACATAAAACAATGATCTCATTGCCCAACCATAGTAATCATCATTACCATTTCCTAACAGGCAAATTATGTTAAGGTGCATCTTTTTTTATTTAAACATGGGGCATTTACAGACATACCACCCAATTTCCTATGTATTGACATATCCAACACATACACTTTACTTTTTTACATTTAAATTACCCAAATCTTTAATGTCACATAAAAAACACCACCATTTTAATTTTTAAATAGTGAAATACATCTTTTCATGCATGAGTAAAGTGGCATGTATATAAAAATTTAAGTTTAGATGTATGTATGTAAATCTTCCCTTAATCAACTATATGTGCATTCAAATGATCAGTAGGATTACTAATAGAAGAAGTTTCGTAAAGCACAATAATTTAAGGAAAATGGCTGGATAAACTGCTAAAAAATTAAAGGAAACTTTAAACATTTTATGTTGGATGAACTGCTCAAAAAATGGAAAAGAAAAAACTGGAAGGCAAATCAAAGAATTTTGCGCTAATAATACAACATCATAAAAACAACAATGTTGTTGGCATATAACAGAGCTGTAAAATCTGGCAATTTCCATATTTAACAACAATCATCTATTCACTTTCATTTCCACTTGCTCTCTATCTAGACATGCTCTTTTTATTTCTTTTTGTAGTTATTTTACAAATTCATTGTGTAACAAGCAGTGAAATATTAATAGATTTTTCGAATCTTAGTACCCCTTCAAACATGAAGGGCACAATAGAAGCATGCTAGAACTTTTTGAGAAAAAACTGGAAGGGAAGATTTCGACAGGTACATCAAACGCATCTTCTAACGTCTAGAGTGATAAGACTAAACTCTGGCCACAAAAAAATGGAAGGGAAATTTACGTACATGTTTACCACACAATTCTTATTTATTTACATATCTAGCACTGAAAGTTCGATATTTACACTTATAACACATTGGTATCATAAACTTACGCATGCAAATGTGTATTTCACTTTTAAAAAAGTAGTGATTATGATATTTTTGATGTGAAGTTAAGGCTTTGAGCATTATGCAGGTAAATATGAATGTTTAGGTGTCAGATATATAAATATATAAAAATTGTGACTTCCGTATGTAAATGCCCCAAAATGAAAAAGGGAAAAACTGCTTGCACAAAAGGGCTAACATGAATCAGTACTTAGAAGAGAATTGGTATTTTAGAGGGAGATAAAAACACATGTTATAGTTACAGAAGATGGCCAACAAGAGGAGAAAGCTTAATTTTATTCGTTCAATTACGATTGGTGAAGAATATGCACATTCATGTATCATAGTTTACATTTCAGTAGCTTTTAACAAGTTTTAGAAGGAAGATTTCAGTAAAAGAAATTGTTATACTCCATTGACTTTGAAAAACTTCATCCCCATGATGATGCTTAGTCAATTTAGCATTGAAGAGATAAAAGAAGCAGTTTTTTTTGACAGATATTGAGCCTACAGTTTATTTTAGGGGCATTTACATATCTGTCGCCTAAGCTTTACTTTTTTACATTTATGCCACCCAAATCTTTCATATCACATAAAAAATACCACCATTTTAACTTTGAAAAAGTGAAATACATCTTTTCATGTATAGGAAAGGTGGAATGTATGTAAAACTTGAAGTTTAGGAGTTAGATATGTAATAGGAATTAAGTTGTACGTATGTGAAATTCAACTTTAAAATGGATTTAGACCTTTGATTTCTATGATTAGAACTTCATTCTCCTCACTCTTGCTAAAAGACATTTTCCGCACAAACTATTCTTTCGATTAAGGATACTTTGATTTGTGCTAAAGCTATCATTATTGTCTATGAGAAGCTGGGTACAAATTCAAATGCCATAGGGAGATGTAGCAAAGTGGCCCTCTCTCTTCTTTTTTTAATATTACTACTAATATTCTTCATTTAATTAACTTTGTCGCTAATTATGGTTAGAACGTGAGGTGCAAATATAATTTGTTAGATTTTCTTATGACAAGCATACAATTTTCCGATGCTTTAATTTTATGCCATGCTAATTCCCAACAAATTATGAATCTTAAGATATTAGTTTTGTTATTTGGAGAAATATCTAGCCTTTATAATAGTCATTTTCTCATTAATAAACAAGCAGAGATCCACCAAACTCTCTGCCTCAGCAGAGACATTTTTTTATTAAAAAAAGATGCAGGAAATAGAAAACAAAGGCAACTTACAGTTATTAAGAGAAGGCAGTAAAACAAAATAAAAATTGAACTTCTCTTAAGTGTCAATTGGTATAGTAGAGAAGAAAAGTTAACAGATGTAAAGGTGTAAGAAAAAAAAACGTTATAAAAAGGTGCATGGCCCGTGAATGGCAAATTGTCAAAATATATGGAGTAGTGCACAACAAAACTTATACCACGATATAGGGAGCCATGGTGCAGAAATGGCAATACTCATTGATCGTAAATTTCATAGATACACAATTGATTGCCCGGTCCTCTCCAGTTCACTTTCATCATGCTCATTCGCTTCAAATCCAAGTTTTTCAGACTTTTTGGCATTGTGATAAAGACCCTCCCAAGATCCCAAATCTCTTTCTATTCTTTCTGAAATCTACAGATCAGTCAAACAGATGTAAGATGGTAAAAGGATTAAAAAAAGTCTTAGTAGTGGTTTGCACAATTGGAGAATTTGGTTGTTCAAATATTGGTTTTGACTAGTGAGAAATTTGATTTTCCATTTTAGGATCAGTTTGACTGTTTGAGAATCACAATTTTGCATAAACCAAAAAAAATCGATTAAATGGTGATAAATTCAAACGAATTTCGCAATTTGTATTTTTTGAGTACTGAACTTCTAGTTGCAAGGGCTAAGGATCAACATGCAGAGGGTTTGAAAATGAGTTCCTATAGGATCAAACGACCTTAGGTTAACCCTCGGTGACTCGGCAACGCACTTGTTGCATCACACGCAATTTTGGCTTAAATTGACTCGCCCGCCGGCAAACTCGTCCGGAACACCCCGGAAGACGCGATCTTGCATTCTGTTTGGTCAGATTGGTCCAGATTTTTAGACAGCAGAAACCAATTGTTGGTTTCGCATACTTATCATCCAAACCGGCCAAATGCAAACCCGTATGACTCAAGACCTTTGGTTGGGATACATGAAAATAAGGAAAACTTTTTTAACAATAAATTCAGAGCAAAGAACTTGCGCAGCTAACCTCCTCAATTTCCAGTCTCTCAAAATCTTCAGCAATTTCTATCTGACTGCTACCACCAAATAAGTTGAGTGGGAAAGTCAGGTGTGGCAGATTCATTAATGACCAGTAGACTTATTTGAGATTTACAAGGTACTTCTTCCTCGACTATATCTATGATACTTTCTCTTTGAAATGCAGGAAGGTTGCTTTGATAATTTTCATTGTCAAGCAAATCCCATGACCAAGTTTGTTGCTTAATTTAATAATACCATGTTTATTAATTTGATGGAAATTGAAGCAAACTTTCTAGAAGATTGAATTTGATGGAAATTGAAGCAAACTTTCTAGAAGATTTGCAAAATCCATGATACAATCTGATACGAACATATTCTCTGCAAGTAACCTCCCCTCATAAGCAACAGAATGAGCCAGATTTGACAGCCTAATATCTTCTATAAAAGCACTGGCCAAGGTGTCCATATCATGAGGGCGTTTTGACAGCCTAATATCTTCTATAAGAAGTGAAAAAGCACTGGCCAAGGTGTCCATATCATGAGGGCGGAAAATAATACCATGTATTTTATCATTAACCTGTAATACCAAGATAAATTCAGAAAGTAATATGTTAACAAAACATAGAAATGTGTTTGGCTGCAAGAAGGTTAGGGGCATTTACATACATTTCACCCAATTTCTATGTATTTACATATCTAACACCTAAACCTTTTACATTTTTACTACCCAAAACATTCATATCACATCAAAAATACCTACATTTTAACTTTTAAAAACTAAAATACACCTTTTCATGCATGGGCAAGGTGGTATAAGAATTGAAGCTTAGGTGTTAGCTATGTAAATACGTAAGACTTGAGTGGTATGTATGTAAATCTTCCTGAAAGTTGGCATGCAGGCATGCACATGCATTTTTAGAGAGGGAAACAATTAAGAGAGAGAGGAGAGTGGGAAGACAGGTAGTTCGAATTTCACTTGGGATCTGTCTGCTTATCCATCCATAAGAGGAAGTGCACTTGCCACTTCTGAAAATAAAAGTAGAGGAAGTCACTTCTAAAAAGATTATTTAGTTATCTGCTGAGAAGAGACACTTCCCCAATAAATATAGCAAAATTAATATATATAAATATATCTAATAAATACGTACTTGTTATGTAACTTAAAATGCTCTATCATAATATGTATTCAAATATTTAATATAGTGTAAAAACTATATAGATTATTTAAGAGAAAACTGTCAAAATGGTCCCCTGACTCTTTGTAGGGGACGATTTTAGTCCTATAGTCTAAAAAAGTGTCAATTTAGCGGCCAAACTACTTTAATAGGGGTTAAAGTAGTCATATAGGGGGACTACTTTAACCCATATTAAAAGAATCTGATGACTAATTCAACACCTTTATAGACTGGAGACTAAGATGGCCTTATGTAAATAGGTAGGGGACAATTTTGGCACTTTACTAGATTATTTAAAGAGAAATGCCAAGCATACCCGATTTTGTGCACACCATCTCAGCCCATGACTATATAGTGACTATATAGTAAATCCTATTATTTTTTAAATTGTTTGCCATCTTCTTTTAAATTACAAATATAAAGTACAAGGCTGTATAAGAGATGAGTCACATAGTTTGAGTGAAAGTGTACGGGCAGGGTGCTGCTGTCTTAAAGAATTGCTATATACAATAATTAGTAGTATGCACTTCTGTGTTTATACAACCACTAAAAAAGTTTCAAAATAATTTAAAGATCTTTAATGATTTATAGATTTTTTTTATTCAATATTATAAACATTATATCTTAATAAATTAATAATTTATTATCCAATTACTTATGCGTTACATCTTCATTATTTTAGTAGAATTAATAATTAAGCATTATTATTGTCTATAAAATTTAAAAATACATTCCAATATATTTTGTTATAAGTTATAGGGGAATTTACATATGTATATACTATACAATTCCTATGTATTTATGTATGTAACACCCAAACTTTGACTTCCATATTTATAACACTCACATATTTCCTATCGCATAAAAAATATCACTATTACTAACTTTTAAACTAAAATATAACTTTTCATCCATAAGTGCTGTAAATATAAAAAAATCAAAGTTAAGGTGCAAGACATGTAAATACATAAGAATTGTGTGGTATGCAAATAAATCTTCCTAAATTATATTATGTCTGAGTAAAAATAATCGTTTTATTTATGTGTATATGAGGCAATATAATAGTAAAAAGGTAAGATAATCATAATTAATGACTTTCAAAACTGTGAATTCAAGGCATATGGGATTTGAAGTCAAAAAGCTATTAATTGAACTAACTGATTTCCTAAGAGGAAGCACTTGTCATTTCCCATCGCCCATCAGGTATTCTTTTCAGAATGCTATACTGAAGACTTGGAGGAATTTAAGGGAATGAAAAAAAATCAAATAAGGAAATAAATAATAGCATTATCTCTTCAGCACAAATGCAATGAGCAGGAGTAAAAAAGAATTATCATATAAGCACTGTTAAAAAAAAAGGGCCAAAAAATGGCTCCTAAGAAAGCTAATATTTATCCTTTAGTTTTTTATATATTCTACCTACAGAAATATGCTAAAATCAATGTCCGCAGAAATCTTGCAATTTCATTAACAAATGTTAAAATGAAAACTAAAAGGGGCCAACCAATTGAACAACAACAACAACAACAACAACAAAGCCTTAATCCAACAAGCCTTTATTATCTCACTAAGTGGAGTCGGCTACATGAATCCTTTTTCTCCATTGCGTCCTAGTGAGTGTCATATTTTCATTTAATTCTAACAAATTAAGATCATTTTTTATACAATATGCCTTGCCTTTTTTAGGTCTACCTTTGCCTTTCTTAACATAAGTTGAATCTAAAATATATAGTCTCCTAACCAGATCATCACATGACCGATGTTTAATGTGACCAAACGATCTAAGACGACTCTCTCTAATCTTATGTTCCACTAGAGCTACACCAACCCTATCACGGATATATTCATTTCGCATTTTGTCTCTATGTGTCAAGCCACTCATCCACCTAAGCATTCTCACCCAGCAACACTTAACTTTGTTTTATGCTTCTCTTTTAAAAGCCAACAGTCTGTTAGAGCATTGCAAGTCTCACCACCACCACAACAACAACAACAACAACAAGCCTTTATCACACTAAGTGGAGTCTGCTACATGAATCTATTTTTCTCCATTGTGTCCTATTGAGTGTGATATTTCCATTTAATTCTAATAAATTAAGATCATTTTTTATATAATATGCCCGAGTCTTTCTAGGTCTACCTCTGTCTTTCTTAACATAAGTTGAATCTAAAACATCTACTCTCCCAACCGGATCTTCAGATGGCCAACCAGCTGAAAGATAAAATAAAATGGAAAAGCTCAAAATTTTTGTAGAACAAATTAAAAAAGATCGATTTTAAGAAATTTATATTCTGGAAGTGTGAATGTTGTAATCATATATAGATTTGACAATATTATATTCACAATGACCAGAATTGCAAGAAAAAAAAAACACATTTCATGCGGAAATAACAAGTGCCTCAAAATCAGAACCAAAAGAATCAGTTATGTTCCCACACAAGAAATCAAACTTCAATTTTCCTCCATAACTTTATTTTTTTTATATTTGTTAATTAGAGTAGGTTTTGCCAACTGTTTAATCAGATGAAAAAATTGATAAGTAGATAAAAGTTAATTTATAAAGAAAAGAAAAAAAAAGATAAAAAGAGATGTTATAAGGGGTAAACATGGATAGAAATTGTGCAAAAGATTTGTGTAGAATAGGTTTAATATCTCATGCAAAACTCTGTAGGAGCAGGTAGACAATGAGGATTTATAGAGTTCTCCAATTAATTGGGATAAGGTTAGCGAAGAGTAAAAACAAACCATTACAAAAAAAAGAAATTTGAACAGCCATAAAGAGATATTAGTATGGAAGGTTTAATGCTCTACTTTTATCTAAAATTTGAAGTGATTTGTCACCATTACTAGATTCCATCTAAAAATAATACTAAAATAACTAAACAAAATTATATTAGTCTGAAAGTAATAGAAATAGCTTATATTGTTCCTTTCATTCCAAAATGTCCCAAATTGCCAAGAACAATAGGATGCCTCAAATATGTTTAGCATTGTCTTTAAATAAAAAATCTTCAATGAAGAGACTATAAAGTTGAAATGAACGAAATTACTTAAATCTTGGAAAAGAGAGACAATATTTGTCCAAATGCTAAATGGAAATGTCAATTTGAAGAATAAGTGAGAATTATCCTTAGGGATGAAATTGCACAAGATACGATCTATAGGAATCCTGAAGCCCATATAATAAAGTATTTGATAGAAAATTTCTTGGAATAACACTTCATCCAAAAAAAATAAATATTCGAAGGGATCAAGGACTTCCAAATAAAAGAATAAGGTGTGATGATAGCATCATGCATCAAGAAATTATACAAGGAATTGACGTAGAATGTCTTTAAAAGAGAGCAATTGCTTTGGAGAAACAATGTTTAAATTCAAACTACAAAGGATTTAAACTCCGCAGTATAAATTTCTAGATTCATTTAAAAAGAAAAGAGAAATATTCTAAATCAACATGCCAACCAAATTTGTTGAGATTGCATATGTTCTTATAGTTGATCAAGAGGCGCCTAGATTCATCATTTGCATTCCATAAGAAACTACAAAGAAGATCAATTTTATTGAGAACCCACTTTAGAATCAACGGAGAGAGAGAGAGGAAAACAAGGATAGAAGTTAGCATAGAGTTGTTAAGAAAATTCTCCCACCTTTAAAGAAGAATTTATTTTCTGAAGACGCAATTTTCTCCAAATTTTGTCAACAAAAGGAGTCCAAAGGCTCTTTTGCAAAGCTTTAGATCAATGCACAACTTTCCAAGGTAACAACATGATCAATTGATTTGCCAACAAGATTTCACTTGAATTTGTATTTTCCCGTTTAGAGCGTGCTTTCGATTTAATAAATAGTTATGTATCAATTTGTTAAGTTTAGGTACTTTTTGCCAGAAGGTTACATAATTGGCTTTATTTTAGCGTAAGTGGACTTATTTAAATAAACTTCTAGTTGATTTGGGAACGCAAAGGCATACATCGATATATAGCAGGAGAGGAAAAAAATCACATAATTACATCAAATTTGTAGGAAGCCAATCAATATATCAAGCTTTCACCATCTTGAAGCAAAATTCTACAAAGTTCCATCTTGATCATTTCTCCCTCATCCTGCTGTTTTAATTTACATGCAAAGGAACACTATGTTCAATGCAGATGGAACATGGATACAAGATTAAAATACTCCAAATTACATTATATCATTTGTAGAGAATAATGCCGCCAAGACGTTTTTAGCTGCTAGAAAGTTCAGTCCCACACAATAAAACTGCAAAATTTTTTTTTTTTAAGTTTGTCATTGCAAAAAAAAAATTAAGAAAAAGTTAAAGCTGCACTGTGTGAATAAGTGAAGTTTCTTTTCTTATGTTGTCAATACATGTAATAATCTCTATTCTGAACTTGTAAGACAACGTTGAAAGTTTATAATTCTTACATAGTTGCAGGCAAAATATCTATCATTTAGCATACACACCTTGAAATGACTCTTTCCGTTTCAAGGGAGCTCAACAAGGCACCTTCAAATCTGTGTGCATGAACAAATAACAAAAAAGAAAATAGGTGTTAACGCATACCAAAAAAGATTAAAACATGGCAAGAATCAGAGAGAGAATAAAAAAATAAAATAGCGTAAACATTGAAAAAAGGAAAAAAAAAGTACACAAAGAAGTACCTTGTCCAGTCAATCAAGATAGAATGATTATAACCCAAAACTGTCACATAACAGTAAATATTTTCCCATAATGTGCGAGCCTCTCCATCCTCTAATGCAAAGGCCTGTTCCACCAAAGCCAAGGCGGTCAAAAATGTTTTATAATACCATGCAGAGAGAGAGGTTTACTCAGAAAAACATACTTAAAAGCACATTTCAAAAGAGCAAAGTGTCAAAATAGTCACCTGATTGTTTACATGAGGCCATTTTAGTCCCACAGTCTATGACAGTGTCAAATTAGTTCCAACTCTTTAAATTTGGGTTGAAAATAGTCCTCCTTGGGGACTATGTCAGCCCATATTAAAAGAGTTTTGGGGACAATTGGCGCTTTATAGACTCTACAAGTAAAATGACACCTTGCAAAAAAGTCAGGAGACTATTTTGGCATCTCCATTTCAAAAAGCTACAAATTATACAACTTTTCCTAGCAATAACACATTATAAACCATAAAAGGGAATATGAACCCATACAAGTATCAGATCAAATAAAAACTTAATCTTGAACATTTACTAGCCTAACAGTTTTCTTAGGATAAAGACGCAGCAAATGCTATAGAAAATTTTCATTTCTCTCGACGGTTCCTGCCAGCAGTTTATATTTACAAAACGTAAAGGCTAAAATGGTTCAGCCATAATAATTTCGACTACTTTTTGATGAAAAATCAAAGAAATTTTCTTCTGAGTAAAAATAAATACATATTATTATCATGAATCAATAAGCACCTTCAAAACAACATTGATCCAAAAGCATTTAATTTTAATGGCAACATGTTCAAAAATAATAAAAAAAAAACAATATTGAGAGTTCCTGATGATAAAACAAAATTTAAGAGCATTAAATAGATACAGATGTGAATAAAAATTCCATATGGCCACTTCAATGGCGTTGAATATTACATTAATATCTCTAAGAATACAAAAAAAATGGAATGCATAGGACAGGCTTCTTTTGACATTAAAAAAAAAATTAACAAAGAAAAATATAAATCCAACCATGCCAAAATCACTCACAGAAAGTACGTAGCCCAGCTCCTTAAGACTTCTCCTTAACAAAGAAAAATATAAATCCAAAATCACTCTCAGAAAGTACGTAGCCCAGCTCCTTAAGACTTCTCCCCAGAGTAAGCAGCAGAAGAGACTGAGAATCCCTGCCCATACTTCCAACAACCTAAGATGTTCGGAAAAAAACATCATAAAAAAACATAGGAATATGAGTAATATAAATAAGGAGCCTTTACATACATACCACACAATTCTTATGTATATACATATCTAAAACCTAAACATTCATATTTATATGCTTACCACTTGGATCTTTAAATCACATTTAGAATACCACTATCAATACCTGTTTAAAAGTGAAATACACTTTTTCATGCTTAGGCTTATGATAGCAAGTTGTTATAAGTGTAAATGTCAAACTTGCTGTGGTATGTACCAAAATTTACCTAAAAATAATGTCTTCCAACAGCTAAAAACAACACATGCATACACCCTTGCATAAACACTTGCATCAAAAAATAAAAAATATGTAAATGCAAACTTCATCTATGCACAAATAAGTACGCATCCCTACATACAGGCCAGCATGTATCCACTCGAACATGCATTATTGTATGTATCCTACCTACCCACAGTGCATCCATAAAATATATATACATAAAGAGCTCATACATATGCATACAATCATAAAATATGATATTCTATAATGTTTATTTAACAGATCTTGTACTTCATGAAATGTATACAAATGTAAGTTCCTTGAATGTGGTGAAGCAAACTAGAGCACTGAGTTTGCATCATCAAGCTAGAGACAATAATATGTTACAATTAGCAAAATTCTTTGGTGATCACATGTAGCATCAACATGAGGCCCAAATGTGGCAAAAAAAAAAAAAAGGGAACTTTAAATACATAGCTCACAATTCTTATGCATTTACATATCCCACACCTAAACTTCTATATTTACATACATCGTAATTTGATGCTTTAAACCTATGAATAAAAATGTGTATTTGATATTTAAAAAATGATAATAGTGTTATTTTTATGTGATAATAAGGAATTGAGTGCTATGTGTGTAAATATAAAGTTTAAGGGTAAGATATGTAAATAAATAAGAATTGTGAGCTCGAAAAATGCACGCCAAAACATGTGCTCTAAAGGAGAAGAAGCACTTCATTTTTTCTAAAAGTACTAGGTGAAGTTAGTGTTCAAAAGAAGTAATGCCACATGCTTCCCTTCCAAGGCACCAACAGGTCATGTAAATGATTAAATTATAAAGGTTGTTTCTTTTAACAGAGTTTCCAGTTGTTAACTCGTTTTTATTTTCCTTCTTTATAGTTTCCTTTGTTGAAGATATTTTGGTCTTAATATTGCATTATCAAGTTCATTAATTTTGCATGTTTCATAACTATTGTAGATGCTCAACCGCAGCTCTTTTTTTGCAAGGAAAATTAAAGCAACCGTTGTGTAAATTTCTCTATTTCTTTTTTTATATGAGTTTCTAACCTGTATATTGTTAAAGAATTTTCTACCTTTTTATTTCCTGGAGACATGACTCTAATTCTCCTATTAATCTCCAACTATCTCACTTCTTTTCTCTCTAATCTCCTCTTTCTTTCTCTTCGTTTTTCTTTTTCTTTTGACTTCTCTTACACACGTACACGCGCTCGCGCGCGCATACACATATATATATATATATATATATTTAGAAAGCCAAAAATGTCATCGTTTCGCTCGTTCTGCTCTGCTAGGGTTCCGCCCCATGGCGAACCCTAGCGTCTCGCATTGCTTCCTTTCTGCTTCGGGATTCATCGTCGTCTCGCGTCGTCTCGCGTCGCCTGCTCCATTCGTGTCGTCTGCTGCGTTTCCTGTCTGCGTCTCGTCTGCGACAGAGCCGCTTGATCTGCGTTTGTGACAGACCGCTCGTCGTCTGCTCGGCTCAGAGCGTCTGCGAGCCGCTCGTCATTCTGCTCGGTTCAGCGCGCGATTCTGCGACAGCTCCGCTAGTCTCAGCCTCTGGCGAAGGCGTCTGCGACAGATCCTGCAACTTCTCTTCCTGCTGCAGTTTGACACTAGCTGCGGTAATGACCTCGGGGTTTTCTTACGCCGCCGCCCTCACCAGTGATAACCCCGCCAAAACCTCCTATGCTACAGCGGTTCACAAATGCAGCTCCTCTTTTCACCTCGCAGATAGTGCGACATTCCTGCAGAGTTACCATGATTATGTTGCAGGAAATGACGATTGCAATCTCATAAAAAAAATAGAGAAAAAGGCGGGCTAGAGAAAAAGGAAAAATAGAGAAAAAGGCGGGCAAACCAACAATTTTCTTCTATGACGTTGAAATTTCAACTAGTGCAGGAAAATACAAATTTATACTAGTTGGAAAATTTTAAACTGGTTGGGGATTGACAGGTGGGTCATTTCGATGGAAGACATGTTATGGTACAACTGAGCACAGAAGATGATTACAAAAGGATTTTCTCAGAATTCATCACAATTGAGGGCAAACATATGAAATTGCTCAAATGGACCCCCAATTTTGATCTCAGTCAAGAACCCCCAATTGCACCTATTTGGTTCTCATTACCTGAACTCAAACTTCATTTCTTTGATCTACCTATCTTATATGCAATTGAAATTATTATTGGAAAACCTTTACAGGTAGATTTACCTACATTTCATTTCTCAAGACCCTCTATTGCAAGGATTTTGATTGAACGAAATATTACACTACCGGATGTAGAAGAAGTCTGTCTTGAATCTGCTCACAATGATTATTGGCAAAAAATCATTATGGAACAAAAACCATACTACTGTAAGCACTGCAAGATGTTTGGACACCCGCTGAAGAAATGATTCAAATTGCACCCATAGTTGAGAACCAATAGTCAAAAGCAGGAACACACTGTTAACGCATCCCATGTGCCTGAACGTGCTCCCAACAAACTTGATGACAACCAAACTGAGGAGGGAAACACCACAATACAAAAGTTTGTGTCTGCCACTGGGATCCCTTCTCCTGACCATACTACAATGGATAATGTTCGAACTGAAAATCAGATGTAATAATTCACACTTCACATACACTGGAACCTATCGCGATGACAATGACTGTCTTTCCTCCTACTGCGGTTCAAACATCAAATCAGATCGAGAATCATATGAGTCGGTCTTCAGATGAAGAATGACAGGTTTACACTTCTCGGCAGAAGAAGAAGTCTGGGGGTTCACTCTAACTTGGAAACTAAATGGATGATACATTGGTGACTCCTGACAATGACAAGACTCTTCAAAGCTTGTTATCTGGTTCCGCTCCTAAAACTAGAGGAAGAGGCATGACTAAACTGGTTCATCCCTAGCTACTGTTTTCTGCAAGTTTTAAATTTATTTTTTATTTTTTTGAGTCTTTATGTACCTTTTATTGAAGTTTTATGTACTTGTATAGTATGGGTAGAGTGCCTCTTTGGACTCTTCTCATACAACCTTTAAATAAATAAATAAATAAATATATATATTTAGAAAGCCTAAAAAGGCTAAAATATTAACTAGAAAGAAAAATACAGATATAATGTGTGGGAGGACCCAAACATGACACCCTGCCCACACTAACCACAAATGGTTCCAAAACTAGAAAATATAGAAAAGTACATTAGAGACTTGAAGAAAAAGCCTAAAAGTGCTGAAATACAAAATATCAGGTGGCTATAGAGCGACCCAATTTGGTCTTGCCTCTGCATCTAGTTCTAGGGAAGGAGCAAGCTAATAAGTTGGTAAGATGATTGTCATTGTCAATAGTAATCAATGTATCATCCAAACTGTTCTCAAGCTGGAGTCAACCTCCATTCTTCTTCCTCATGGAATAGACCTGTCATTCCTCATCCGAAGATTGACTCACCTGACCTTGGTCTAAAATGTGTTGGAGATGTGTAAGTTGTTGATCATTAGAAGCAACTACAAGTTGTATCGGTTGATCTGTTATTGGATCAAAAGAGCACTCTCGTGTGTCTTGGCATGTAAGTGAGTCTTCTTAAATAACAATGGGTGGTATAAGCACAACTGATCTGTAGTTGTATTATGGTGTTCTTCGTCAGGAACTGCGGTGTTGGAAAGAGGATCAGGTTGCATCTTCTCAATAGGGATGATAGACGACTGATCTTTAGCGATATCCGGCCTTAGATGAGGATGCAAACAATAGAAAATAGTAGAGCTGTGGCCAAACACACTGCAATGAGAGCAATAATGAGGGTGTGGTTCTATTTCAACCTTTTGTCAATACCTATTGTGAGTTACAATCCATATCTCATGGTTACAATTCATATCTCATCCGGAGCTGGTTGAGTGATATTACAATCCATATCTCATCCGGAGCTGGTTGAGTGATAATACCCCCCCAAAATAACACACAAGCCACAGAGGGTCTAGATATAGCAAAGGTAGGACTATCAACCTTGAGAGCCTTACCGTAAGCAGTTGCTAAGCAATAAAGAATTTTCAAGTTGAACAGATGTAATTTTAACCCCAAAAACTTTATCCAAACTGGAATGATAGGGGACTTCGCTTTTGGATCAACATCAATAGTCCACTTCAAAATTTTCATATAATGGTTGTCGATCTTGATAACTTTCCGAGAAAAAATGCGAATATAATCAGCATCGTGAGACAACTGAATCAGTATGTGTCGACCGTCAAGTAAACCAATATTACAACTGTCCAACAATTTCATAGCATCAAATTATTTGCTCTTATATATATATACTTGACTTTACTCACAATGGTTATTGACAAAAAATTATTATGAAACAAAAAACTTACTACTGCAAGCACCGCAAGATGTTTGGACTCCCGCAAGAGAAATGTTTCAGATTGCACCAACAGTTAAGAACCAACAATTAAAAGTAAGAACATACTATTAGTGCACCCCACGTGTCTGAATGCACTCCCAACAAACATGATGACAACCAACCTGAGGAGGGAATCACCACAAGACAGGAACTGTTGTCTACTCCTGATCATACTATAAGGGATAATTTTCGGACCGAAACTCAGGATAACCCCGCTGCTCCTATTCAGGAATCATTAGGTGTAGAGGCGACATTTCACACTTCACATACACTGGAACCTATCATTGTGACAACAACTGTCTTTCCTTCTACTGCAGTTCT